TTTCGGGATTTTCAAACAAGCAATCTTGAAAAAATTTTCATACAATTTATTTTAATATTTAAATATATGCATACAAAAATGTCTTTGAAATTGTTGTGGGAAGTTGCAAGGGATTCAAAAAAACGCTTTTTTTTTCCTCCTTTCTATTCACGGACCATTGTCTTTCAGCTTCGCTCACATTCTGTCCTAACCGTTCTTCTCCACGTTGTTCTTGGCCTCCCCACACTTCTTCTCCCTTGGGGATTCCATTCTAGGGCCTGGCGCGCCAGTGATGTTGTTGGCCACCTCAGAATGTGGCCTATCCATTTCCACTTTTTTGTTTTTATATGGACCCAGAATGGTTCCTGCTTTGTCAGAATCCACAACTCCTCATTCATTATTCTTCTGAGCCACAAGATGCGGCATATAATCCTAAGACACCTGTTTACGAACACTTGCAATTTTCTCATGTCGTTCTTTGAAACCAGTCACGTCTCACTTCCGTAGAGCAACACGGACTTGACACACGCATAAAATATTCTAATTTTTGTACCACTTGCTATTTGTGTAGACCTCCACACCGCAGCCTTCCAAATGCACTTTCGCCTTTGATATTCTGTGTTCTATGTCTCTACTCGTGCCTCCATCAGTCGCTATCATGCTACCCAAGTACTCAAATTCTGCGACCTCCTCAATCTGGGTATTTTGTAAGTACATTGGTATCTGGCCTGTAGAGTTTATTCTCAAGCATTTGGTCTTAGTGGGATTTATGCGTATACCCAAAGCTTCGGCCCTTTCTCTCAGGTCGTTGATAGTTGTTTGCATTTCTTCTGCTGAGTAGCTCAATATGAATATGTCATCCGCATACTCCATATTCTGGAGTTTCTGCGAAAGCTGCCAGGTTATCCCCTTTCTTCGTGCTGCTATTTCTTTCATACACTTGTCAAGTACCGTAATGAAGAGCCGTGATGAAGGTGGAATGAAGAGCTTTCAAGGCTTAAGACCAGAAATCTATTCAATAAGGCCAAGGCGTCAGGTTCGTGGGAAGAGTATAAGGACTCACTCACAAAATACAATAAAGAAATTAGGAAAGCGAAGAGAATCTCATGGAGGGCGTTCTGCAAGGGCATTGATGAACTCCCCAGCAGTGCGCGTCTTCACAGGGTGCTTTCCAAAAAGTATGCTCTGACCATTGGTGCAGTGGTTATGGCACCGGCCCTTTAAACGGTTAAAACCCCGGTCAGGTCACTATGAAAATTATATTCAATATTATATAACTTAATATGCAAATACTAATAAAATATTATACAAGTAATTTTCAAATGTTCATAATATTCGATACTAAAGACTAAGAAAAATAAACAGTAAATATTAATTAACTGAAATATTTAATATAAATAAAAACTACGGTAGACTAGTCACCTACCTAGCTAACTCTCTATGACTATAGAAACTAGAGCATCATAGATATCATGCACTAGCCCTATACTCCTCACTAGGAGTGAAGAAGGAAAAAAAAAAAATGCTAGCGGGTTGGGCCTAATGGAACGTCCTGATGGCTCCATGACTGAGAACGGAAAGCAGACGTTGGAGCTTATGGCGTCAACGCACTTTCCTGACTCGGAGATTTTTCTGAATCACTCAAATGCAGTCATCGAACCGGGGGCACCCTGGCCCAGGAGGATGACTGGCAACGATCCCGTCTAGTCTTCACGATGGGCGGGATTAGATGGGCTGTTTTCTCTTTCAGGCCCTTCAAATCTCCAGGTGATGACGGGATATATCCTGCATTTTTGCAGAGGGGTTTCCAACATATCGCTAGAGCACTGTTGGGAATCTTTCGTGCCAGCTATGCGTGGGGTTACATCCCTCAGGCATGGAGGATGGCTAAAGTGACGTATATTCCGAAGGTGGGTAAGCGACCAAGCAACCACCCAAGGTCTTTCCGTCCAATCAGCCTTACTTCTTTTCTATTGAAAGCAATGGAAAAAGTGATTGATAGATTTATACGGGACGGTGCACTGGGAAGCAATCCCTTGCATGAATCTCAGTACGCCTGTCAGTCGGGAAGGTCTACTGTACTCGCTCTGCAGAGTCTGGTGGGGGTCCTTGAAAACTCACTGGAAGTGCGGGAGGTAGCAGTTGGCTGCTTCCTTGATATAGAAGGAGCTTTTGACAACACCCCATATCATGTCATCTGTGAGTCGTTGCACAAACGAGGGATTGATGCGACGACTAGCAGATGGGTCAATCGGATGCTACAGGATAGGATTATTAAGTCCACCATAGCTGACGATATACTCTTCATCTCCGCTGCAAAAGGATGTCCGCAGGGCGGGGTTCTTTCGCCCCTCCTGTGGTCCATTGTAGTGGATGATCTAATCGCTGCTCTCAGGGGCTCCGGGGCGCGTGTCTGGGGATACGCTGACGATGTGGCCTTCGTCGTGCGGGGAAAATTTAAGAGCACTATTTCTGATCTTCTACAGCAAAATTTACGTGTTGTGGAGAGGTGGTGCAAAGGCGTTGAGTTAAATATAAATCCAAGCAAGAGCACTTTGGTCGCCTTCACCAGACGCAGAAGCAGGGACAGATTAACGAGCCCAATTCTGTTTGGTGAACGTATTAGTTACTCGAGGGAGGTGAAGTATCTGGGGGTAACCCTGGATGATCGTCTCTCTTGGAATACCCATATCGATAGAGTTATCGGGAGAGCTACGGCGGCCTTGTGGACGTGTAGGAGCTTCATCGGGGGGACCTGGGGAATTAGTCCCAGAATAGCACTGTGGCTATATACGGCCCTTGCTAGGCCCATCGTCACCTATGCGTCGATTGTATGGTGCCGTAAGGCTCAGCAGGCGGGTGTGCGGGCCAAGCTGGAAAAGCTACAGAGGCTGGCCTGCCTGGGAGTGACCGGGGCGATGCGGACGGCTCCCACCGCTGCATTGGAGGTGATGATCGGATTGCCGCCACTGCACCTCCATATATTGAAGGAAGCCCGGCTGGTGACTTACCGACTTCTCTCTGGCGACTACGGGGTGGGGCTAAAGTTGGCCCACACAGAGACTTCATTGAGGGCGATCCGATTCTAAGAATAACCATGTCAAATACCTGTCTGCCGCGGTACAACTTCGACCACAGGTACAGGGTTCTGTTTCCCGATCGATGGACGTGGGATAGGGGTGGTCCGGTACTTAGGTCGGGTTCGAGCGTGTGGTATGCGGACGGGTCCAAAACGGAGTCGGGTGTGGGTTCGGGCGTATTGGGTGTCCGCCCGGACACGCGTATATATGCAACCCTTGACCCGTATTGCACAGTGTTCCAGGCCGAAATACATGCAATAGAGATCTGTCTGAGAATCAATTTGGAAAGGGGGTATAGAAACCGCACCATCTATGTGTTCTCAGACAGCAGGGCTGCACTGCTGGCACTCCGTTCAGCTCAGGTTACATCCAAGCTGGTCTGGAGCTGCCTTGCTGCACTTAGGAAATTGGCAGCGGAGAACAGTGTGATGCTCATTTGGGTGCCGGGCCATAGTGGTCATGCGGGCAACGAAGTTGCCGATGAGTTGGCGCAGAGGGGATCTGGGGCTGCCTTTGTGCAGCCGTTGCCTTTCTGCGGTCTGCCTTCTTCCGCCGGGGGGGCCAGGCTTGCCTGCCTACTCGCGGCGGAATGCGGCCGTCACTGGCGGGACACGAAGGGGTGCCGTCATGCGAAAGTGTTTCTTCCGGCGTGCTCCGGCGGATTCGCCGCGGAGTTGCTGGGGATGAGCAGGAGCCGGGTTCGCACTATTGCGAATTTCTTCACGGGGCACTGCCCGGTGAAGTACCACCTGCATAGGCTGGGGAAGTTGGGCTCCCCCCTGTGCAGATTTTGTGGGGGTGGCGATGAGACCGCCGTGCACATTCTCTGCGACTGTCCGGCACTAGCTGTTCGGCGCCGCAATTGTCTTGGACATGGGTCCCTAAGTGTTCGGGAACTGTTGTCCAACTCCCTTAGGGATATCTCCGGCATTGTGATTGGGACGGGGATATTATAGACGGGAGGGTGGGGTGGCTACAATAAGTCAAAAATGGCTGCGGTGGCTTGGGGGGATGCTCCTGTCCCACTCGGTTCCCTTAGAATCTACAATCTACAATCAACCGTGATGAATAGTAGTGGAGATAAGGGGCATCCTTGTCTTACTCCTGCTATTGTTGTTATTGGGGTATTGAGTCTACCATTATGCGACACCATTGTTTCTGCGTTGTCGTACAAAGATCTTATTATATTTATGATTTTTGCAGGGATTCTGTGTCTCTTAAGTGTTGCCCTTATCATACTGCGCTTGATGGAGTCGAATGCTCGCTCGAAATCTATAAATGTTGCATACAACGGGCTGTTCTACTCTATCGACTGCTCGATGATCAGTCTCAAAGTGTTCGCATCTTCTGTGCACCCCCGACCTTGCCGAAACCCCGCCCGTTCTTCTCTGATTGATGCATTCAATTTTTCGACTATTCTGGAGTATATTATTAGGGCTACAACCTTTGTAATGCTGTTTAGCATTACAAAGGTTTATGCTTTAGTATTGTAATACCCCTCCAGTTTCTGCAATGCGTCAGATCTCCCTTCTTGTGTAACTTTATAATCATTCCTGTTTTCCAATCGTTTGGTACGTTTTCTTCTTGCCATATTTTTTCTGTGATTGGTTTCAGCGCGGTTGCAGCTGTTAGCTCTCCAGCCTTTAATAGCTCAGCTGGTAGCTTCTATTATTTCTCTTAGTGCGGGGGGGCCTTGATTGATTGTGGTGATGTTTATGACTGGTTCTTCTTCTACATCTTGGGTGTTCGTTTCCGCGAAGTGTTCTCTCCATCTGTTTAGTTGTTCTTCGGCGGAGATTATTATAATGCCATCTTTGTTTCGCACAGGCATTTGTTTGTGACTGCTCTTCCTCGATAGTGTATTAATTTTCTGATATAATGTTCTTGAGTCACTTCGTCCAGCCGCCGTCTGGCTTTGCAATGTTGCTGTAGAACTTTCTTTTATCTTTCCTGACCATTCTCTTTATTTCTTCTATGGCAGCCCATGTTTCTTCCGTGATCCCCTCCAACTCGGCGGTAAACATCTCGTATTTGTTTGTGTGACATATTTTGTTGGCTATTTACCGCTTGTTGTATGTTTATTACAAATTCTTCTTTTGTATCGCCTGATTTTAATTTCTGCACACATATTCGCTTCCTTCTGGAGTTTGCTGGTGCGTTTCTGGTCGCCAGTTTGATTCTTATGTCAGCCGTAACTAGCATACGATCACTTTGAGCATCTGCGCTGCGCCATGTTCTTACATCCAGCATCGATTTCACCCATCTCCGCCTAATACAGATGTGGTCTATTTGATTTTTAGTTGTGTAAATTGGAGAGACCCAAGTGTACTTGTATATCGATTTATGCGGGAATATTGTACCGCCCACCACCAGATCGTGTTGTTCACATGTCTCTTTTAATCTTTCTCCATTGTTATTTCTGACACCCATGACATGACCTCCTACTGCTGGCCATGGCTTACTTCCCACTTTTGCATCAAAGTCTCCCATTAGTATTAGGATGTCAGATTTTGGGACGTCACTTAGTGTTGCCGTTATTTGCTCATAAAATTCATCTTTTATCTCGTCTTCTGAGATTTCTGCTGGAACATAACACTGAACTATGGTTGTGTTATTGATTCTTGAGCGAAAACAGACAGTCATTATTCTATTTGATATTGGCTTCCATGCGAGCAGGGCTGTTTTTAGAGCTTTTTTTATAATTATTCCCGCTCCATGTTCTCGCCACCTAACTCCGCTTAACCCAAAGATTTTTATTCCATATCTATTCATTTCTTTCTCCATTTGCGCTAATTTTGTTTGTTCTCTCATTGTTTTTATATTCCATTGTCCTATTCTTGTCCTAATTCTTCTGCTAAAGGTCGATACCGTGATTTCTTGGTATTGCTTTAAAACTTTCACAAACGATCACGAGAAAGGCATATTTGAGGTGACTATAAAAAAGAATGAGTTTCGCGCAGGCATTCGCATGCTTCATTTAAAAAAAAAAATAGTGTCGTGAAAATTTTTTATATCTTATTTTAAAAGAGAAGCATGAATTCCATATAATGCGCGCCTCGGTATCTATACCGGTAATGATATAATGCTGCGCCTCGGTATCTACATATATAAATATATATTCAAGTATTTTTAAATTTCATTTTTAAAAAGAAATTTTTTTCTCAGATTATTTTTTTACTGAAACTACCTATGTTTATGTAAAACAAGTAAAAACGTTGCAGTCGGTATAAAGAGAAACAAATTACTCGTATACCCTTCACCTTGGAAATCTGAGTCTAAAATGTTTTTTCGAAATATTATTCAAATTGTAAAAATTTCAAATGCAATTCGAAATATGATTTATTGTCATTATCGATAGGAAATTTAATTGGTTGCAACATATTTATAAGCTAAAATCATATTTACTGTGTACTTCAAGACATTTTTATCGATTAAAGAAAATATGTTCATTAAACATGCTTAAAATGTTTTATTACGGAGTTTTTCATTCCAAGCTGCAGTACGGTATGAGTTGTTGGGGAAGGCGAGAAATAGAATTAACACTCTATTGATTTTGCAAAAATCTGTCATCAGAAATATTTGCGACAGGCACAGATATTCTCATAATATTGAATTATTTAAGAGTTTAAAGATTCTTCCTGTGAGACAGTTATATTATTATAAAGTATTGAAAATTTTTTTTACGAAAGGTGACTATCTTAACAGCAGGATTTCGAATACCTATAGGTTGCGTAATGAGAGATTCTTTACAATTGTTCCAATATTTCGAATTACAAATTATCGGAACTCTTATGATATTGTATCTTCTCGTTTATTTAATGTCTTACCGGAATCTATTCGTTTAATCAGGCAAAAAAACATTTTTCTTACTAAAGTAAAATCTTGGCTGTTGAATTTTGATCAAAGTGAAATTGACAGTTTGTTAATAACTTTAGCGTGAATTAATTTTCTTTTTTTTTTTAATTTTATTATTTTTTCTTTAGTTTCCATTGTTTTGTTTTGCTTTTATGTAGACAAAGGCCTCACAAAAAGAAGAAGAGTCCTTCTCTGATTGGCATTAGACACTAGTCCAATGAGCTATTTAATGCTTTTCTCATTCTTTTAGTTGATGTAAAATTTACTATTGAATCGATAATGTTTATTACATAAAATTTGAAATTATTGTAATGTACAAAATTGCAGTTATGGACAATATCATTAAATATGTATAATTTGAATTATTTTATACTTATAAATTAAAATTAAAAATTTATTGTAAATTCTAATTTTAAAAAATAGAAAAAATATCTTGTTTTTTTTTTTTGTATAATTTACTATTGTGCCACATGTAACTCTACTATATTGTATTTAATATATTAAGATGATTGCAATTTTTTTAGACCAAGTTGAATAAATAAAGTTTATTTGAATTGAAAATTTTACTTAATATTTAGAATTAGCTTTCATTGTTGTATATCAAGTATTCGAACCTGACAAAGAACTCACGGAAAACAACACGGATATGTCTGACCTACAGCTGCCGAGTTTCGTGAATTATTTAATTTTTCCAAATATTTAAAATTTCCTTTTGTTTAGAGATTAGAACTCTTTGTCCGAATTGGTCCAAGTACAATAGCAGCCATCCTCGGCAGAAAAGAAACAACTTGTGAAAGTTTGGTTTCGATTGCATTATTCATTTCTTGGGCGATCGGACGGACGGACGAACGGACATGTCTAAATCAAAGCATCATTTTACGCTGAGCAAGAATATACATATGTCCATATCGGAAACTACTCCTTCAAGTGGTTACGAACTCCATACCAAAGTGTATATATCCTTCACGAAAGTACAGCGAACTTTTATTAGCGAACTTTTAGATTTTTTTAACAATGGTTTAAAGAGAAATTGTAGTATTGCTTTCGATTATGATTAAATATATACGCATTAGATCAGGATCCCAAATTGGTACAGCAGTATTTATTTAATACGGTAGTTGAATATTGCGAGCTTTAAAAGCTAAAATATAATCATGACAAGTGTAATACTATCTTGTTCAGAAATACAATACATAAATCCAATATTGACATTGAAAAAGAGTGGAGACAATTTCATATCAAGGTCGATTCAAACTAAAATTAATGACTTGCCTTGGGGATAATATTGAACACCTAGAGGTTTATGACAATTACTTATATAACTCACTGTCAATAACAAAATTTAAAGGCCATTAAAGCATTTATGTTATTTAGTAAACTCTCCTTTCAAAAATTATTTCAAATAAAGTTAAAGTTTTATGTTATAAAAGCTCAATTAGACTTACTTTAGCCTATGGTAGTACTATTTGGTTTAATGTGAGTGTTTGTGTAATGGAGAAATTGAATCTTTTCAAAAAGAGTGTCTGAGAACGTGTACAGGCTTAAACAAAAAACCTACTTCTGGTTATCTGCATTTACTATTACAATAGAACTATATATAATAGCGCCAATATAGTCAAAATTGACAACGTTGTGATACGTCTCATACGTAACCATATTCAACATAGTAGTAAAATTAATGAAAATTCCCTTAAGTATATTAAGAAATATAATATGTTAATAGGCTATGTTCCACTTGATGGGTTTGTTGTTTTTGAGTAAATATAATTATATAGAAAACGAACATTTTTTTCCGTTATTATACCATTTTGTAAGTTAAATGATTTCTTAAAATAATAAATGTACATTTCTAATAGGCAAAAATTATCGAAAAACAGAAAGTTATACGTTTGGAAAAATTAAATATAGAAACGATTCATTTAAAAAAAAATTAATTAATAACATGATATGAATTTTTTATTTTTGGTTTTAGCTAGTTTATTTTAGTTTAGTTTTTATATTAAGTTTTAAATAAAACTCTAATAAAGTTGTTTCTTAGCTTATATTCTTACAATACTTATACCATTTTACTGTTATAATTAATAACTTACTTTCTTGTTACATAATAAAGTTGGATCAAATCAGTGGTTTGCAATATAGTAATTTTCCCCTCAATAAGTGAAAATACATCTTTTCAAAACAATCTAGCTATGTACTACATTAAAATTATTTCCATTCATATCCGACTTTATTTCAAATATTGCATATATTTAGCATGAGCATTGTATGTATTCTTTAAAATAAAACAAAAAATATAAAGAGACGCTAACATAATGCTCGTTTTTAAGGCTTATTTTAGGAAAAATAAATATATTTATTTGTTCAATTTGCTCAAAACAAGTTAATTTAGGAAGGCGTAAAAGTTTTGGAAGCACAGGGACAGACAGACGGCCGGACGGATATATATCCGTATATGCTATACAGAATGTTTTTAAAAGCAGTATTTTCACTTGTTGAAAAGAAAAACGTGTTATATACAAACCAATGGTTTGATCCAGATATATATCATTAAATATGAAGCAATTAGGTGCTGGTTATTACAGATCCTATTCAAGCTATAAACGAGGTATTGTCATAGATTAAAATTGCGCATACCGGAGTTTTCAATAGAAATGCTAAGAACTCTACATTAAAAAACTATTTTTACTAGGGTTTAGGCCTGCCAGCCTGCCGATCAGCCCATATTGGCATTCATGTGTTTTTTTTTGTTTCTCTTCTTCACTCCTAGGAGGAGCATAGGGCTAGTGTATAATATCATGCCCTAGTTTCATATAGTCATAGAGTTAGCTAGGTAGGTGACTAGCCTATCGTAGTTTTATTTAATTAAATATTTCAGTTTATTAATATTTACTATTTATTTTTCTTAGGCTTTAGTATCCAATATTATGAATATTTGAAAATTGCTTGCATAATATTTATTTGTATTGTATATTAAGTTATATAATATTGACTATAATTTTTTTTTATAGTGACCTGACCGGGTTTGAACCCGAGACCCTTCGGGTAAAGGGCCTTTGCCATAACCACTGCGCCAATGGTCAGGCATTTGTTTGTAACAATTTCAAATTAAAAGATTTTGATAAGAATTTATATTAGAGTTTATTGTGAAAATGCGACCAAATTACAGAATTTGGCAATTCGTCGGCTGAGTACTATTTTGATCCATACGCCATGACTTTGGAATCGAGAAAATCGCGTTTGAAGTTTAACAACATTTTATTTCAAAACTTAACGATGGAATTTCTTAAATTTTTGTTATTAGTTTTATTAAAGTTTTGAGAGTTTCACTATAAAGTTTTGTGTAATTTCGACAAAGGGATCGAGAGTTATAGCAAATTAATTAGAGAAGCTCGAATGCAATTTTGATCCATATCCACTTTTTCGATCAAAAATGTTCGCTTTATACGACGTGGATCAAAAATTCATGGATATAGATCAAAATAGCACAAACTTAAAAAAAAAAATTGTTCTCTATGTCCCATTATTTTTCATATACTTGCATCCAAAAAATAATTATATCGCGAAAATAAGAAGTTTAAATTTAAAACATACGTAAAATATGAACATTTAACCTAATTAGATTGAAAGAATTTGAACAATTGTTTTTACTAGGCTAATAATTCAGTATGAAGTTCGTAATCATACGAACGTAATATAATAGAATATAAAGAGTTCATATATAAAGAGTTCGTAATATAAAGAGTTTTCTACTGTATAGACATTTAAACATATATTCCCACTAAGCGTAAGATTCCGCCTTGATTTTGATAAGTGCCTTTGTTCCTTCGCACAATTATCCAAGAAAAACAAATACCACCAAACTTTCAAAAGATGTTTTTTTATTTCAGCCAAAGACTGTTGCTAATTTTAGGGAATCGATTCGAACCATGGATTTGGTTAGCTGAAACTCAAGAAGA